AGACCATGAATATTTATAGCATCAAAAGAGACTGACAATTATTTGTGTTTGAATTTGAAATATTTTGATGGTAGAATTGCAGATAATTAAGAACAGAGGGAAGTACATGCTAACATACAATGTATCATTAATGCAGGAAAATAATGCAACATACGGTAAAGAACCTCAGCTGGACCCTAACTTTATCCACATACATGCTCTAACAAAAAGATTTCAGTCACATCACAGACCATCTTCACAGCAGCACAGATAGGGAGCAAAGATCTACTTTGCTACTAGCGCTCTTGGCTCACCCAAATCTGCAGAAGCGATCTGAGACAAATTCTCTTTAGTATGAGATTTTGAACACAGCTTTTCTATAACAGTGAAGATGCAAGTTCCTATGTCAGGTGCACATACACAAGAGAGGTGTGTGTTTATGCATCTGTTTCCAGTCTGCAAGGCAGTATTATCTTCTAGCCCGATCTGATTCCCTCAGAAAATCTGAAGGCTGCAGAAGCCAAAAGGGACGTTCTTTGGCATGTCATACTCAGTCTTGGACCTTTTATAGAATTTGAGTGTCTAAGTCTGAATCTCAGAGCAAATTTCAGCATTGTGGTTTACTCCTGGTTAAGGCAGGAAGTATATCATAGAATCACAGAATCACAGAATACCAAAATGGAAGGGACTTTAAACTGACCCAGTTCCAACCCCCTGCTATGGACAGGGCTGCCACACATTAGATCAGGCTGCCCAGGGTCCCACCCAACCTGGCCTTGAGCACTTCCAGGTTTGGGGCATCCACAGCAATCTGGGCAACCCAGGCCAGCGCCTCACAGCCCTGTTAGTAAAAAAATTCCTCCTGATACCTATACAATCTACACGTATCAATTTGGCTGCCTCATTTACATCATCATGCATTTCTTTAGGTCCCCAGTTCATCGCTTGTTACGACATTCAAAGGAATACCATGAAGATCTTCCCCTTCCAAATTCAAACACCATATTTGTTCTGGTAATTGAGGGAATCTGTTTTATCCGCCTCATTGGATACAGTCATTATAACAGTTCCCACCCAGAATGCCACAGCCATTCCACATGCAGTTGAAATCGATAGCATTTTTCTGTGCATCAGGGATTTCCCATCAATATTTACATGTAATGATTAAAAGAGCAAGGGCTCCAGTAATCACGCAGGCTTCACCACTGTTGATACCTCTGGGAATATCAAACATTGTGACACTGTGATCTGTTTCAGTTTTCAAAGGTTTCCATCCTCCTCTTTAAAGCAGCCTTCCTCTCCTGTAAGCTATGAGGCAGTGGCATTTTTGCTTTCAAGCATATGAAAACATGTGCTTCTGCTTCCCTCTCTAACTCTGGAATGAAACACTCTGTTCCAACAACATCTCCATCCAAGCAGGCAGTTATGGCATCATTCTGGCTTTACAAAGACAGAAGAAAACTGCAAAACATTACTTTCTGCTCAGGTGATTCACATGCTTGTCTCATCCAAGGGAATCCAAAATGTCACACTATTTATGTTTACCGTACCGTGCAGTGTAGAGAATGCAGTATTTGTAGGTTTTAGATTAATGGATTCAAAACATCCCTTGATTAATCCCTATGCCACTAGTGCACAATATCTGGGTTCACTTCAGTTCAGCAGCTGATTTAGGAATGTTAACATTATTTTGGCTGGAGCAGCTGATGGAGAAGCCTGATTAGATTGTTCTGAACAAAAATCCTGTGTTCAGTACAGGTACTGAAGATATATAATGCCTAAATTCAATTCCTTTATTATTTACATTCAATAACTAATGATTACTTAGTTATTAACCAAGCCCAAAGGGTTAGTCATGATAATTAGACTATGAATTATTAACACACAAAAAAAATCTTCAATATTTCTTTGGAGGTTTTTTTTTTCTTTTCTTGTTCTTCTTCTTCTTTTTTTTTTTTTTTTTAATTGCTTTCTCTGCTTATAATTTTCTTAGCTAGAGTAGGCATGGAGATGGATTATGAATCTCTTTCATCCCATTTAGAGCAGTAACAGCATTTCAGACTCTGGCCTGGCCTGCTGCCAGATACAGGCAATACATTTCCTCCAGTTGCAAGCAATAAAATTATTCTGTCTTTGTTATTCTGCGTTTCCCTGGATCCTTTTGAAGGACAGGAATGAATCTCTGCCAGCGTTGCTGTGATGAATTATATGCTTTAGCTGTTTAGCACAAGGGTGAGCTATACAAAGCCACGGGAGGCTGAATTTTAAAAATGATCCACAGTAGTTTTTATTGTTTTTCAAATCGACTTCATAATAGCTGTGCAAATATAGCAAAAATAGTAAGTGCAATTAGGAAGATAATCAAAATTAGGAAATTAAGACCGTTTGTTGCTTTCTGGCTTGCCCGCTATCTGTGATTCTGGTGTCAAAAAACCAAAAGCTCTACTGAGCTTGGGAGACTCTGTGCCAGGTCTGCACCTCCCGAGTGCTTTGGTGCTTTTGCAAACATGTCTCCATCTCTTTTACTGGACTTTCTCCCAATATGTTACCAGCTGCATCCCTGCCCGTTCATTAAGCTGCATTTTCAAGAAATGCAGCAGTGCATATTAAGAGTTCTTGTGTACAATCAACATGAGTAAGTCAGTTTTGAGAATCTTTTTCATTCATCCACAATCTTTTTTTTTTTTTTTTCCTACAACCTTCATGCAAAATGTTCTATTTTATTCTATCTGGATTCTTATCCCATTTTCATCGCTGGGTTACCGTAACAGATGCCATCATTAAGTTAAATGAGGTAAGGTCTGCTATTTGTTTCTCTTTCCCCAGTAAGGAGACTGATTGCGTACATTCACTGTTAAAGGTCATCTCAAAGCAGCTCAGAATGACACCAGCAAGCCGCAGGCGGACAGCGACGAGACCCGGCACAGCACCCCTCTCCTCAGGAGCCGCCAGCACCACCTCCTGACCCTGCACTCCACGCCTCCCTCCATAACAGGACCTCCCCCCACCAAACAAGATGGCGGCGCAGGGGCAGGGGCAGGGTCTCGGGCCCGACGCGGGGCTCGCGGGGCTCCCGCCGCCTTCAGGCGCCGCTATGGCACCGCAGGACGGAATCGACGCATACGGCGCTACCCGCGACGCCCAGCCCTCGTCCCGCCCCCCTTGCAGTGGCTAAGCCACTCAAGCAGCCGAAATTTAGCTTCAATCCAATAGGAGCAGCAGTCGATTTCCACTAACACCAACCAGGGGCCAGAGCCGTTAAACTGACAGCACGGACAGCCAATAGCTGACAAGGAGAGGCCGCCTCCCTTCGCGCCCCGTTGCTGGGGCAGCCGCTGTCAATAGCCCCCAAGAGTCGCCGAGGCTCCTTTAAGCGTAGCGTGGCAACGGCGCCGCGTCCGCTACACAGGCCGGGCCCTGCGGGGGAGCGGGGCCCAGGGCGGTGGGCCCGGCCTGCAGGTGAGGGAGAGCAGGGCCGGGTTGAGAGGAGGGCCGAGCCCTCGAGGCCGCGGGCCCGAGCTGGATAAGCGGGGGCGGCCGAGCAGTAGCAGCAGCCAAGGAGGGCGGGAGATGGCAGCGCTCCCCCGCGGCATGAGGAGCCGCCACTGGAAAGCGTTGGCCTGAGGTAACGCTCGGTGCGTTCCTTAACGGGCTCTGGCAGAGCTGCGGCGTTGGGGGAGGAGCAGGGAGGCCGCCTTGTTTGGCGGCGATTCGCTCGGACGTTCGGCATTCCGGTCACTCAGGTGGGCGTTTCTGTGCGGACGCTGCTTTCTTGCTTTCTTCCGTGCCGCCACGGGTCAACGCCTGCGCTGTGTGCCGTCAGGACGGCGCTGAGGCTGAGGGCCGTTGCGCTGCGGAGCCGGGCCCCGCGTGTGCGGTAAAGGCAGGAAGAACTTCCGAGTCGTTCTCTCTCTCTCTTTCTCTCTTCTATTTATTTTTCCCCGTAACCTGCTTTCTGCGTGCTTATGAGCGATGGCAGGCAGCCCCGTGCCATCCCTGGAGTTGTGCTGTGCCTTGTGCAGTGCTTCCCTGTCCATTGCTCCGCAGTGACCCGCAGCCCGACTGCGTGCCGAGGCGTTTGGGTTGGGCTCTCTCTTTTTCTTTCCACTATGTGTTTCAAGGCAAAATATGTAATCAGTAGCAACAGATCGTTGCTGAAACAAACAAGCGTGAAATTCTGGGAACAGAGCTTTCTGAAGTTGTGCAAGTCCTAGACTTACCTCATGGATTCTATGTTGGTCTGATCCCGATGCGTTCCGCTTCTAAAAGTGTGTGTGGGGTTTCTGCTCTCTTTGACAGGGTGTTCTGCTTTGATTTGTTGCTGTGTTCCTTTTATTGTTTAAGGCTTTTTTTTTCCCCAGTAACTCACAACATTTCCCTCCTTGCATCATTAGATGTACTGGGACAAAACCAATGTCTTCATGGATTTAACTCAAGCAAGTTTTGGTTATTTTTATAATAACTCAACCTAGCTGGTAACAGTTGAAAAGTCAATGAACCAAATAATTTCTTAATTGAGTAATCCTTAAACCAACTAAATTAAAATCCAAATGCCTATTCTAGTGATTCATTTGCTCTGAAGATAAAATCTGCGTTTTTTTTTTTTTTAATGTTAATCAAATTGCATTGTAAATTTAGTGGCAAATGGCATCTGGCAAAGCTTGACAGATTGAGGTTTCCTGTTTTGTATGGAAAATGTGATGATATTATCAATTTATAAAAGTGAAAATGAATTGAAGCTTTGGAAGTATTTTTGGGGATTCCTCAAGGGAGTTTCCATTGGTTACACTGTTCCAATTTATTTTCAGTCTGATGATTATTTTTTTTTCCCCATTTTCCAGAGAAACTCCAGAGAGCTTCAGAAATTAGTGTTCTTCGCTATATATCAAAGTAATGCCTGACACAGGTTGCTAGGAGAGGTGGATGCCCCATCCTTGAAGACACTCAGGGACAGGCTTGATGAGGCTCTGAGCAACCTGATGGAGCTGTAAGTGTCTGTTCATTGCAGGGCAGTTGGACCACATAGTCTTTAAGGGTCCCTTCCAACGAAAACAATTCTATGATTTTGTATTCTGTGAAAATATTCTTGAGAGGGAGCATCCAGTACAGAAGGGGATAAATTTTTACACGTTATTTCACAATACTATTTTTCTGTTTTAAATACCGCTGTGAAAGGCATTCTTCCAAAAGGTTATTGCCTACTCAGTGAGTACTTGTGGGGCTATAAAATTACTGACTGATCATCTTTAAGTTAGTAAGTGAAAGTGAATGTTCTTGTTTTATATATATAATTAGACATCTAGATAATTGAATCGCAGACACTTACATTTTTCCCAAAATGCAGTACCACTTGTTTTGGTTTATATATGCTTTCTTCTCAAGAAAAAAATAATCATGCACAGAGATTCCTTTCTATTCTCCAGTGTCCTAATGGCAGACAAAAGTAAGGCATACCTTGGCTAGGCACACACCATTGAAGATAGATGCCCAACAGAGAAGTTACTACTGCTACAGAGGTTAGGTGTGCTGATGTTAACAGCTGTGGATGTGGTGCCTTTGGCACCAGGGTGCCCAGCTCATCACTCCAGGGCAGACTGTGCTGCTTGACTTCCTACCAGATTGTTTCGTTCAGCCTATTGCTGTGAGCAAAAAAGGGAACATGTGTTAGACCTAGAGCTGAGAACTGGTTGTTAATCTAATTAAAATCTTAATGGCCTAATCAAAGGCTTAGTACTAGTCCAGTTATTAACACAGTTCAGGTTGTGCACAGTTACAGTGATAGAGGTACAAAACCTCTGACACCAGACTTTCTTCACCGACTGACTCTTCCCCTGGGACCTGAAGGGCTTTGTCTGGGCTGGGGGGGGGGAGGGGAGGTCAGCATCCCACCTCTCTTGGAAGGAGGGAAAGTGTGCTGATGGTTTTTCTTCCTTGTCATGTGTCCACTTGGGATTGCTTTTATGCTTGTTAACACACTGCACACCTTATTCTTTCCCCAGCACATGATGGCTCTGTCATCACTGAATTTATACATACGGTGCATTTTACACATGTTGAGAACTTGTCCTTTGTTCTGTGTCATTACTTATAGAACTGATTTTACCCATCTCCCGTGGCTGTATCACCTGGTGAGCAATAATTAATTGACCACTGGTTAGCTATTATAGTGCAGGGCCCCCCTGTTGCCCTGTGTACTTTAAGGCCCCTACAGTCATCCTATGCCTGTGAGCCTCCATGCTCTATTTTTCCAAGGCTCACAGACTGTTTGCTCTGCACACAATAACTACTGCTTATTGCTATCTGTTGGTTATAAATCAAATTGTAGGTGTTAGAGTACACAGCTGTACAAAGCTAAGCAAAAACTAGTTAGATAAGTTCCGTGATGGTTAGCTAATTTTCTTGCAGCTAAACAAATAAAGCTTCAGGCATCCAAGATGAGTCCAGACATTGTCTGACAAGTCCTGTGGCCCCATTCTGATAGCTGAAAATAAAGCCTGTGGCTTCTTGCAAACAGTGACAACGCCATGTTTGCTATAGGCTGCATACACAATTACAGTTTTTATGTCGTTACAGTCAGGATGTCTGAAGTAGTTTGATGCCTGTTACAGCCCTGTAGAGCATTATCTTTGTATTTTGTGTTATTTTACTATTCTAACATTGGCATATATCTTATTTTCTATCTTTATCACCCGGGATTCTATCTTGTGGAGGCAGACATAAAGCAGTCTTACCTGTGTATCCTGTAAAGAACAGGATGTTGCCAAAGCTGTGTCTGTGTTTCAGTTTGGAATCAAGGGGTGAGGTAACAAATTCTGTGAGACCAGGATTGAGGAGCAGAGCTGCTTGGGAGTATGGTTGTGTTCTCATAAGTTCAAACGTCTTACGTGATCTTAGTCTTACACTCATTAATGCTTGTGAAATCTTTGTTACCTTCACAAAGGAGGAAATACAATTATAGTTAGGTGTACACTTCTGAAATATCTTTGATAGCTTCGCAGATTCAAGGTAAAAGAAAATAGTCATTGCTGATCATTCACGTGTTCACTACAGCTGACTCCTTCCAGCACACGTTAAGGAATCTCTAGGGCAAGTGATCTCAAGCATTGCTCATCTTCTTTCTGTTTTCATCAGAATACTCTCTGACATAAGTTTCAGGCATCTGATTTATTTTGACCTCTTTAAAAATACTTAGGTCTTCAAAGAGCATTATATTAGGAAGTTACTCCCCAAGTAAAGAAAAACAGTCTCTTCCGAATAATTCAGTAATAATTCAGTAATAATTTCCCAGCAGCTTCTCAGTTTAGAAATCTGTTGGAATATTTATTTCTCTAATTCCTGCCATATAGATTATGAGGGCAAATCCATCTTTGTCACTGGAGGCAGAGCTGTATGTGCTAACAGTGTAGTGGGCTGGAAAGCTTGAATTTGTGATGAAAACTGTCTTGGCAGCTGATGTTTCTGTTCTGCTTGGCTATGCAGTTCTTCACATATAGAGGGGAACAGAAGGGATAGTAAAGTGACATAATATGGTGAAAATTTTGCAGCTCATTTACAGGTATGTCATATGCCCTGCAGTGCAGAAGAGATCTGATTGAGAGCAGCTCAGTTTTTTTGTGTGTAGTTTACTTGAGCTCCTATCTTGTTTCTAAATGGTTATGTCATTCTACAGGCAGGAGTGCTGGGCTCTGGTGTGTGTACTGTTTATTCGCCCATTAGAGGCTTGATATCTTGAGTTTGGAAAGATGGGAAATAGGTGGAGAAATAAACTTAACTGTGGGAAGAGAGGTGGAAGGTACAGGAGGCTGAGTTTAGTCAGTCCAATACGTCATGCACAGATGAGAAGATTCAGTTTTGAGTGAGAAAGGCAAGGAAAGCTTTCAATGTATTTCCTTCAATGTTCTCAGTGTCTGAAAAATGCAAAAGGTGATTTTTACATAGAGATTAGACTTTTCAGTTTACATCAAAAGGCAATCTGCAGAAGCAGTCATTCCCTTTTTACACCTGGTAATGTTTACCATATACTAGGTGTAAAACAAGTAATGCTTACCATATACCAGCAGGGTGGACTCTCTATCAGTTACTTTAAAAATAAACATTAAAAGACTGTACATGCATTAACATGTAAAGCATGTGACACAAATTTATGTGCTTTTACCAGTTCTGGAAGCATACAAGAGTACTTCCCAAGGCAAGGAGCACACTAACACAGGTAGGATCTCAGTGGTCATTAAGGATAGAGCAAGCTTCGGATCAATTTTTTTTTTATTTTTTATTTTTAAATCAACCATTTCATTTAATATCATCAGAGTGTGAGAAGTTGAGATATGGAATGCTTAGTCTAAATCTGCAAATACCATTTCAGTTCTAGTCATAGGAATAAGTTGTCAATTTCTTGGGTTAGAAAGTTTTTCAGCATGTTTATGTTAGCTTCCTGAATAGCTTCAGGCTTTCACTTGCCTTATTTTCCAGAGGCTTATCTGCTTTCTGGTCTGGAAATAATTTCTTATTCTAGATTCAGCTATAGTAATTTTCTGATAATCTTTAGGCAGTGAATTGCCTCATACTGTTGAGTGTGGTACTAACTCCATTCCTAGAGTGACATCTGTCCCATTTAATATAAATAATAAGGCTAATGTAGCTATTCATCATAAGGTTATAGGAATTCTGAGTAATTTTACAGTTCTTCTACCTTTCTTAACAGCAAAACCATTCTCTTTTTTTTTTTTTTTCTCTCTCTCTGTTGTTACAGAAAAATGCATTTGAAATGATAACTTCTCTTTGCTGAGCTGAACTACAAAGATCTCATGCTTTGGAGATGAAGATGATAAACACAAAGAATAAATCCAGCTTCTGCTGCTGTGAATATTAAAAGGTCCTTTGTGTCAAAATGAACAGTCTTTGAGAAGAATCTGGAAGCTGCTAAATCTAAAAGATGGGAGAAAGGGTAAGGAGCCCAGATTCTGAGCAAGACAGAAGATCGGATGAGGACAGAAATAGTGACTCTTATTATTCAGATGAAGATAATGCATCCCATTCATCTGACCGGTCGCCTACTCTAAGCTATCCATCGACAAGCCATGAAAAGCGTGATCACAAAACAAGAGCTTCAGACAGTCTTGTGCACTACCAAGGTAGGTGCACATAGAAACTGTTCTTTGTAACTGCTCCAAAGAGTCTTTGAAAGTTGGAATAAAAGTGGTGAATGTACTGTTCTAAGAATCTGCTAATAACATTTGTGTGAATTATACTGCAGGTGGCAGGTAGGCTCTTAACTGTTCAGTTGAAAAATGAAATTAACCAACTGCTGTAAAAGGAGATATTTTGGGAGGGCTTTCAGAATTATTCATGCTTCTTTTGACAGGAAAGTGCACCTCTTGAACTAGCCTTTGGTTGCATCTTGCTGTTGTTCTATTTGAATCTTTGACAGGAATCTCAGAATGGCCAGGGTTGGAAGGGACCTCAAGGATCATGAATCTCCAACCCCCCTGCCACATGCAGGGCCACCAACCTCCCCATTTAATACTAGACCAGGCTGCCCAGGGCCCCATCCAATCTGGCCTTGAACACCTCCAGAGACAGAGCATCCACAAGCTCTCTGGGCAGCCTGTTCCAGCACCTTACCACTCTCATAGTAAAGAATTTTCCCCTGACATTCAACCTGAATCTCCCCTCCCTCAACTTAAAACCATTTCCCCTTGTCCTGCAGTTATCAACCCTTTCAAAGAGTTGACTCCCCTCCTGTTTGTAGGCTCCCTTTAGGTGCTGAAAGGCAGCAGTCAGGTCACTCTGCAGCCTTCTTTTCTCCAGGCTGAACAAGCCCAAGAAGACCCAAGACAAGGCAATACTACACAGTGTATAAAAAAAGAAGATCCTTCTGTTGTGTACTTGTCTGAGCTTTCCTGTAATATGGTGTCATTACAAAACAAACCAAAAAAACAATCAGCAAAGTTTCAAGACAGAAAAAAATGTTTGGTGGAAGTCTAGGTGCCTGTGGAGTAGAAATTCAGGAGTGTTTTTATAGACCTTTTTTGAGGGGTAAAATACAGCTGCATTCTGAGTTCCCTCACACACACCTCATGAGCTGCTGTACATGAGCTGATTTGTTGATTGAGACTGTGGGGAAAGCAAACATCCCTGCAAAAAACAAGAGAATGATTTGTCCAGCTTCAGGCTGAAGTAGGGTTATGAAGCTTCTCTGCCACTTTTTGACAGGTTGTTCTAAATAGTTGCATGCGTCTTCTGGTGAAGTGAAAGCGTATCTTGCCTTTCTTTAGCAGTCTTTTTCATTGGCAAATCCTTCATAGCAAATTTTTCCAGGGAGAATCACTTCAGATCCTGGCATTTTGTTGAACTTCTCTATGTTCAGAAGTGGCATTGCAGTTGTAGGTTGGGTGCCTGAGAAACAAAAACTGCAGTTCCACAGTTGTTTGGTTTGGAGTGGGCAAAGAAATGAGTTGGTCTTCGGTGCAGCTAAAATTGAATACAACTATTACATGAAGGCATGGTGGATGTAGTGTTGTTCTTGAAATGCACTCTTCCCCAGCTTAATTTTGTGGTTGAAACTGCAGACTTGGTATTGGAATTTTCTGTTCTGCTCTTAATCTGGAGAAATTCGTGTAGGGGTTTAAAGGCTAGACTGTGAGGTTCGTGGGAGTGTGCTTCCTTCTCAGAAGGAAAGATGTGATTCCTGCAGTACCTGTATTAGTTAATCTTATCATACCTGAATGCTACATAAGTATTAGTCGTGTAGGGGGGGAAAGAAAACTTTTTCTTTCCTGTTTTCTTTAAAGTTGTTATTTTTGCTGAAAAACGTTGTCTGTAGAATAGAAGCATGGTGAGCATTAAAGGGAAGGAAAGATTTGCTGTCATACCCACCGTGTGTGTGTGCATAACTGCATTATCTCTATATACCGGTTTTCAAGTCTCTATATTGCATAAACTGGTGCTCAGAATATTTCTCCCACTAAGCTGTCTGTCTGTCCAGTTGTTTTAAGATGTGTTTTTGGTGTGTAATGTGCTTTATTCTTCTCAGCATTGCCTGACATGCAAATAAGATAGAAACACCGATGCTTAGTTTTTATCTGCAGTGATGGTAATAAAATAACAGCAAATAAAAATGTAAGTGATGGATACTAGTAATCAAATAAGGGTACTCTGTGGAAAATAACTTGTGATACAGGAATAAGTTATTCAAGGGATAACTGAATTTTCGTAGCATTTATGATTTTGCTTTGTAGGCTTTTTTGACCCTTTAAAATTGCAGTTTTATCTGTCAGCATGGATTTGAAAACACTGGATTTGTCTGAGAAAATTACATCTTGCATAATACATAACTAGCTGGCTCTCAGCTAATTGTTGCAATTTTAAAAGCCCTTGATAGTACTGCATGCATAAGAGTACAGTATTTCTATCTTAAGCAAGCTAATAAACGTAATCAAATATTAATAAAATGTCTGTTATTTCTGATACAATTTATAGATGATTACTTTGCTATACTTCCATGTTGATGTCTGCAGGTATTGCCTCTTTCAGTAAGTCACAGACATAATATCCTTTTTCTACATCTATGGAAAGAAGCATAATGCTGTTACGTGTATGCTTTTTATTTTCTGATGTGAAGGCTGCAGTCTCTGCTAAGTATTATAGGATAGTTTCAGGCGGAACTTCATTCCAAGAAGGATGTCTGAATCCACAAATTGCATTGTCTTGTAACAAACGTGCTTTTTATTGTTCCTCTTAGCCACAAAGAAGTTGGGTTCCAAATATGCACCGAGCAAAAGAGGGACACGGTGGGGTTTCCGTTCTCAAAGCCTCACTAGGGATTCTCCTGCGAAAGAGATAGATCTTGTTACAAAGAGAGTCCTTTCTGCTAGGCTGCTGAAAATCAATGAGCTCCGAAATGAACTGACCGAACTCCATATCAAACTAGATGAGCTGCAGAAGGAAAACAGGGCACTGAAGAGGCTTCAGCACAGGCAGGAGAAAGCCTTGAATAAGTTTGAAGATACAGAGAATGAAATTTCTCAGCTCATTGCTCAACACAACAATGAGATTAGAATATTAAGGGAGCGCCTACGAAAATCTCAAGAGAGGGAACGTGCCACTGAGAGAAGGCTAAAAGATTCAGAAGATGAACTGTACCGAACAAAAACTGTCTTGCAGAAACTGAAAAAGCTGTCTGCAGATAAGCACCTTGCTGAAAGAGATGACCTGGCTAAGAAACTAGCCTATGCAGAGAGCAGACTAGAGGAGAGTGAAAAAAGAATTAAGGTGAGATGAGCTTTTGAAATATTTGCTCAGGTATTTCTTAAGTGACTTTTATGTATTAGTTTGGCTTCTGGTTTTCTTGGGTTTTGTTTTTGTTTTTTCCATTGTGGTGGAGCAAGTAGAAAAATCTTTCTCTTACTTGATGCTATTTATGAGCAAAAATGATTCCTGAAGGGATTATGTAGTTGTATACTCAGTAGTCATGCATTCAAATTGCTGTTTACAAATTAAATGTTACGTGTGGGTGTCAATGCAGTGGAGTTGTGCTTTTCAATGTTTCTAGAAGTAGAAATGATGTTTCAAAAATGCAAGCAACCATAATGTAACTTTATGCAGTCTAATTCCTTCTGAAGAGGAAGCATTTCTTAAACATGTACAGGATATTCAGAGAACCAAGTACTCCAATTCTTTTTTTTTAAAAAGTGTATATATATAATAAAAAATATAAATAAGATACATGTATATATTTTTAAAGAATATGTATATGTATTCTTGAATCTTAGGGATTTCATTCATGTAGTGGGTTTGTTTTTGGTCCCCAATTCTGTACATCTGAGAGCTGAGCTGAAGAAAGCTTTTTTTAGATAGCAAAATAAGCTCCAATATGTTTTAGTTTTATTTGCAAAAATATTTAAAGGTACATTTTAAAAACTCATCTTATTTTAAAAAAATACTGTATTAGCAATGTTTGGTAGTTATATGCAGTACCATGTTTAGCTGAAATTACATTCATCATAATTGTAAGTGTCAGTAATTGTAATTGTAAGTTATAATATGGTATATTGTAAGTTATATTATGGTGATATGGTGATAAAAATCTGAAGGGTTAAACTGGAAAGTAAGCTTTCATGAAATAAACTCCAAAATAATAGGAATATCCCTGCAATAGAAATGGCTACACTTCTCATACCACCCTGTAGTGTCACCATCTGGCACCTGGAGTTTCATGATTGGGTATCTCAGTATTTGTAGTAGTAATAGAATATATGAAAATAAGTTGTGCCCTTCAAGGGAGAATCTTCTTGTCTGCTTTTTTCCTTCTCATCATCACAGGTTCACTTAAAACAGCTGTTGAGAGCTGAGGGTATGCAAACAAAACAACAATCACAAGTTTCTTTCAAGTAGATTTTAATTATTTCCTGTTGTCTTCCTCTTCAGGAGGTGTCTCATTTCTAAACGATCAGGTCAAGATTTTACTAGAGGTATACAGGTGTGTTCTCTGCCTGTTTCAAGAACCTTGGCTAGTGGGTACTGTTATGTCCCCAGATTGCCTCTCACTACTCCAGAAAGATGAGCAGCAGCACCTGCAAGTGCAGACACAGCACTTGTGTCTGCCTCCATAAGCATTAGGATTAGGGTTTGAATGTATTTGGTGTTATAGTAGTGGCAGAGTTGAGCTTTGAATCCAAGATGTTTGTTTATTGTTATTTTTTTAACCACATTGACTGTTGACTATTCTTGGTTATTAAAAAGTATTATTTTGTTGTTTTAATTGAAGGATCTGGAGAAAAATCTGGAACTAAGTGGTAGCAGTTTTCAGCGAGAATTACAATTGAAGAAAAAAAAGGTGCTTGAAGCTCAAGACAAAAATAGAGCTCTTCAAGAAGAGCTTCTTCAACTGAATCAGAAGCTGAAGGTAAGTTGTGAAGCGGTGCAAGCTGGTACCTATGTTCTGGTGTTTTATCTTTGGAAGTACCTGTCATCAAGTTTACATACTTTAGCGGTGGATGCACTTTCTGATAATGTACTTGATTATATCAGGGGAGTTCTTTTCCTGTTTCAAATTGAAAAATTCTATGCTCTGACCCTTCAGCCAATTTTGAGCTGCAGTGTTTCCATGTTACTATTACTGTTAGCACTAGTTAAGAAAAGTAAGATCAAGTACATAGCCAAGAATGGTTATTAAACTCCAAGATTTACTGAAAGTTAGACTTGTTTTAAACCAGATCCGCAGCTGTGTACAGCCATTTATGTTACCATGCACCATGTCATGTACTTGGATTTGAGCAGGCTTGTGTACAGATTAGTTGTGAGATCTCCATACATTACTAAATTTGTGCAGTTTTATTTCGCTTTCAGTTCGGTTGCCAAAATTCTGAATTTTGCTGTAAAATTGTGACTCAGAAAGCACTGCATTCTACTCAAATATCAATTTGCCTTTACAAAGAAAATGCCTTTGTAAGGAAACACCATGTTTGAAACTTTCTTATATAATGAAGATGCAGCAGTTTGTTGCCTGACCAGTTGTTGAGCACGGAGCGCTAGTGATCCAAAAATCTGCTTGTTAACAGTGAATGTTTTAAGCACGATTTGTTAGTGGAGAGTTTGATGTTCTGAAAATATTTTCATTGTCAGATGGCTTCTGGTAATTTGCTGGTAATTCATTTCTGTATTTTAGCTAATAAATATAACAAGGAGAATATGCTTTTTACTGTATGATATCGTGAGACACTGCTCCATGGTATTAACACAGCCTGTGACAAGTAACCTTGAAATGTTTAACTCTAAAATACAGAAATTTTTCTTGTGCAGTCTATATGTACATCACAACCCTTTTTCAAGTTTATGGAAGCACTGGCATTTACTTTAATTTTTGCTGCAGAGCTCTAACATTTTTTTTTTCCAGAGCATTTTGCTAATGAGATTGAGGAGTAGAGTTCTGTTTGAATTTTTGAGCATAAGAGAAGTTAGTAACGTGATTGTTCTGCTTGAAAATTGGGCAGAACTGTTGATGCCCTTACTTCCTTAAATTCCATTTGCAATGTGTATTTTTTATTTTAATTTACTGCCAGTGAGTGAAACATTACTAACTCCTGCTACATCTCTTTCCTTAACAGGAAAAAGAAAGAGAACTTGATGCCAAAAATATATATGCTAATCGCATGCTGAAGGTATCACCGAGGAAAGGGATGGATGTTATTCAAAGAAAGAAAGGTAACAAAGAAAGTAGAAAAGGCAAAAATGTAGTACCGCTACTTTGACGTTCGACTTTAGCGGGTGTGTGTATCGTGCTGACCCTAGCACTGCTCGTCTGACTTTTCGTCTTAACTTTTTTGCACTGCTTTCTACACAGCAGTCATTACAAAAGAAGGGCACGGGATGACTTTCCTGTAACTGTAGCAGAACCAGAACCTCAAATTTCCTCCGTGGCGTTAATGTTTTGTATTGCATATGTGAAGGAGGACCAGAAGATTGTTCAGTAAAATTTCTAGTAGATCGTAGGTGTCTGCATGACAGTGAACTGCAGGCTGAAAATACAAAATGTCACTGCTGTATTTTGGGAACGCTTTTTATTTATAATTTTCCCCACTTCAAATTAATGTTGTCAGATTGGCTGCGGTACATTTTGCATCAGAATACATATGTCCCACAGCATCATCTTCCAAAAGCATCACTGTGGTGATTTTCTTCTGGAGCGACAAGGCAGCCGTGAGCCTTATGCTACAAGCATCAGTATACATCTGTGTGTGTGTGTGTGTGTGTGTGTGTGTGTGTGTGTATCAGACAGTCTTTGGTGGATCAGTGGAATCTGTCAGAAGAAGGAATTTCTGGCACTGTTTTAAATAGCTAGTGCCAACATTTCGAGCACTTTAGTATTTATCTATCTATCTAGTTTCAGTGTAGATATTCTACTATTAATCCATTTTTGAGTTCAGGTATTAAAATATGTTATTTAATAGAAATAAGTTTATGTGCTTTTAAGATACGAACAGGTATATTTTAACTTAATGAGTTTACTTCTCTGAGTATGAATTCATTGAATTCAGTGACAAGCAAGAAGATGAAAATAGATATTTTGTGGCTAATTTTTTTAATTCAATATGCTGTGATTTTATAAATAGCTTTATTTTTTTTTTCTTGTAGATTTTTTTTCTTTTTTTTTACATGTAGGTGGGGTTTTTTTGTGTGTGTTTTTTTTTTTTTTTTTTTTTTTTTTTTTTTTGTTAATTATTATTTTATTTAGCATGTAACAGAGGCTGGAAACAGTTATATGAAATTTGTCAAAACTTTCCACTTCCATACTTGCAAATACTTCATAATCAGGGTAGTTACACAGTGGGATATTTTAAAGTGCAGATATGTTTTGTTTTTATTTTCTACAGCCAGCAACCAAAATATCAAAAAAGGAGCACAGCTCACGAAAGGAGTGCAGACCAATGGATGCTTCTCATCTGTAGAACTTCCTCCAGAATCAGAATTTGTCTGTGATGATGCAGTAGATAAGAAAGAGAGGATTCTTTCCAGAATAGTGAGTTCCATTTAAAAGAAAATATTTGAGGCTTGCTCCCCATAATTCACCTGTCAGACTGATTATTGAATGCACGGCTTGCTTTTTAGGAAAAATATATAAGTATACAGAAAATACAATTTAGACAACATTCTGGTCTTTAAGAGAAGCTCTGCCCTTCCAGAAATATTGTGTGCCATTTTTTTGTGACAGTTCACCCTATTCTGTATCTTACTGATAGCCACTAATTCTACCTGCTTCTTTTTCTGCCACTGCCATTTCTTTGAAGCTTTCAAGCCTTTATTTTGTTTTTCTTTATTTCTAAAGCTTATTTGAGCAGTCTGTTGTAACAGTGCTGGCTGCTTTGTCTTTCTTTTTGTTTTGCTCTTACTTATGGCTTCTTGTAGTTTGCAAATTTATTTCACAGCCCATAAATCTAATGCTTCCTCTTATTGTCAGATACTGGTATTTCTTCTGTCATTTATCCAGCTTTGTGAATGTGGTTGGATTTTTTGTTGCTGGTTTTTTTTTTTACTGTTTCCTGTAATCATGGTACAATTAGAAGTATTCCTAACACTTTTATTTCAGGCTAGAATTAGAGATTTGCAAGGTAAAATTAGACAGGTTCTGGTACGAATCTGATGCACTGAAGTATTTTCATGGTTGGCTCCTTCCTTCATGCGTTCTATCCCAGAATCTTTTCTGTATTATGGATGTAGTTTAATGCATGTGTTTTCCAGCACTTAAGTGTGTGAGTTCCATAACCACACAGGAGGTACAAGCAGAGCTTGTGGAATCCAGTTGTTGCTTTAAGTAAAGTTGGGTCTATTTCACTTATTTTAGAGTAAAATAAACTCCTATATAAAGTAAAATACACTTTCTTAGAGAAATAAGCACAAGGCTCAAGATTAGCATCCACTTGTTGGATTAGGCTGCCTTTCTCTTCCTTGCTTTTATGTTAGTGATTTTTTACTGCTGACTTAATATCAGTTCAAGTGTATTTCCCTTTAAATGTGAGTATATCTACTTATTAGCTGATTTTTAACCCAGGAACAAACCTTTCTCTTTCACTGTTGGTTACTTGATACTCCATAACTTCAAGTACCGTTGTGAAACTGTCTGAATGGACAACCTAGTCACTTCAGTAAGAAGTCAGGCTGTGGTAACTAGCTTGTTTGCTAAAACAAAAATGCAGTGTGGTCTGGCTTCTATTAAGGTCAATTACTGAGTTTTCAAGAAAACTATTGTAACAGAATGACAATTTTATTTTATGACAGACATTGAAGCAGCAGTGTTCCTGAAATGAGTAATACTGAAAAGAATCAGTTGTTAGTTTTGCTTCAGACGAATGTTGAAGGTGCTGAGATAATAAGGTCAAATCCCTGAGTTGTCAGAGTTGGTTTGGCTTCGATGTCTTGCTCATTTTTATGATTAGCAGTACAGAACATAATTTCAGAATGAAATAGAAGATCGTATGATATTATTTGTTTGATTATTTTTCTGCATCAGTTGGTTATTGTATCAATTTGTTTCAGGAAAAAGAGCCTCAAAACAAGGAATGGAAAGAGCAAGCAGACCTGCTAAAACAAGAGCAAGACAGAGAAAAGGAAGAGAAACTGAAATGTGTTCAGGAACTGCAGACTTCAGAGGAGAGGTTTCAAAAGCTACGTGATGGTAAGAAAAATAGGCAGCTGAAAGCTGGAAAATGCAACATAGAATACTAAGCAAGTGAGACTGCTAGGTTGTTTTTTTGTTGTTGTTGTTTTTTGGGTTGTTTTTTTTTTTGTGTGAGAAGAGCAAAATGATTTTGCAGAGATCACTACAGTGGAAAATTATTTTCAGTGATTTTATGCAAAGAGATCAGAAAGAAAAATGGAATATAGAGTAATCTGAATCCTGTACTCAGATGTGATTAAGTATAGAGCAGCAAAAAACACTGAAGTCTGAGAGATTTTGCTTTACAAAACAAGGATGACATAGCAAATAAATGCTGAATTATCTCTGATTTGCTAGATGTTATTAAGGTAACAGTAGCAAACTACTGTCTATAGCACAAATCTGCTGTCCTTAATAAGGCCTCTTTTTTTAATACTTACTTCACTTATATCACAGAATCACAGAAACAGCAAGGTTGGAAAAGACCTACAAGATCATCCAATCCAACCATATCATTGAAGATAGTAATTTATCTTCTTACTTGTGTGAATCATTTAGTGTGGCTATTTAAGAAATATCAGTTTTCATCCTTACATCTTAATGTTGCTTTTTCTTTATCCATTTGGCTTTCAAAACATACTTATGGCTTACATTTATAAGATTTTTATAGACAAACCACATGCTGTTGTTTAAAATGCTCTTTCAATGATTATAGTTAACAGAAGCAGTTAATGTAGGTGACAAGGAAGAAATCTAAAAAACTAGAGCTGCTTTTAACTAAATCCTACATAAATTCCCCTACTTCCACTCACCTTGTTGCACAACTTAAGCAAGCCAAGGATTTGCTCTGTTACCTGCCTAAGATGATTCTGACCATGTTTTCCTATTGTATAAGCTGATATTTTCCCCACCTTGCATATGGGAAGGTAGCTACTTTACTTGTTGTGATATTTTCAAATGCAGTGTGATTGAAAATACATATAAACTGAACTGTTGGAGTTATTTCTGTAAGCTTGATCAGAAGTACTGTAGATAGCATGGAACTTTGTGAAAACATCAATCAGCAGTTTGAATTAAGAGTTCAAAAGGAAATGCCAATGTGCTGAATAGGCCAAGTAGTTGTATTCAGCCTTTGACCTAACATGTCTATTGTGTCTTGTTAGAAAAATATTTTCAAAGCATATTTTGAGAAGATAAATTCTTAGAAACTTTCTTGTACATGTAACATTTGCACATGTTAGTAGTCTAATTACTGTTGCACCTCCCATGCCCCTTTTATTTGTGCAGATTGCCATTTGGTATTAGCACAGGTGCCCTCGTTGTATTTGTATAATGGCACATGAGACCCTTGTGTGAAAGTGCCTTATGCTGCAGATAAAGAACATTTAAAATCATGCACAACTGGAAAACACTAATGACTATCCGTGACTTTGTTACTTGAGAGCTCTACAGGATTGGTTCCCTTTACAGTAAAATATGTATATCCCAGTGTCTGTGGTGCTGACAAACAAAACCAAAGTGCGAGTTGGAACTATTAAAATCAGTGGTGTTATATTAATTTTTCTTCAAAGCCAAGAAATAAGAAGGCAATTGGCAGAAATGAATTTCCCTGATATTCTAAAATGTGGAAAATGGCCTAATAGCATACCTTTGTATCTCAGCAGAGAATGTAGTGGATTTAGTTGTAAGTTTTTGAATAATTTTTTTTTTTTTTTACAATGGAAATACCACACTGTGCATGAAAGAACATATTGCATACTCAATGGCTTTTGCTTGCGCTGTCTTCAAAGTATTCTTATAAAGGCAGCTTAAGACTAAGACATTGTAACTAATGTTTAAACTTCCTACAGAATGGGAAAAAGAAGAATGTGACAAAATGAAAAAAGAAAGCAGCTTTTTATTGGATAAAGAAGATAAAGCAAAGATGGAAACAGAAACACACAAGCCTGAAATAGAGACAGAAAGTACTGAAATGCTGGAAGAGCGGCGAAAAAGTGAATTTCTGCTTGCCAAAATGAATGAAATTGATAGAGAAACTCAAAATGTAATGAACGTGAAACTTGCTTCTCAAACAGTGTTCATAAACACATTGAGAAAATCTGATTCCCCGGAGAAGAAAGAAAAAAATGGTCAATTCTTTGAAATTCCAGGAAAGGTTACAAATGGATTTCCCCAAGAGGAGAGCCAGGAGGATGCCATAAGAGCACAAGGGCAGAAGCAGCGAAATTTAAGGACTGTAGATTTAAGTAATGAGTTAACATTTGGTAGTTATGTACCTTCCTTTGGAAAAGTATCAGGGAGACCAAGTTGGCTTAATCAGAAAGTTGACTCTTTAGAAGAAGACATGAAGGAAAATGCAGATTTCCATAGTAAGAAAGAAAAGAAGTCCAATTTAATGGAACAGCTCTTTGGAAGTAGTGCCAGTGCCATCCTCCTCCCTAAAAGTAAAGATATGACACCTTTTGACATAGATTGGGAATCAAGCAATACTCTTCTTGATAAAAACAGTAAAATCAAAGTAAAAGAAGACAACGATCTTTTCAGTGAAGGAAGAAACCTAAACAGACACCGTCTGCAACACGCTGGAAGCAAGCCAGCTTTTAAAACCCTGGGTTCTTTAGAAGATGAAATTGAAGAAGTAGTCTTACAATGATCATATTTTATATTTTTCATATGTAAACACTGAATAAATATTTTCACATAATATTTATTAGATACAGATTTGAGATATTTCAGATGTAAAGCCTTATGAAGGAGTAATTTACTTATATGGATGTATTTGTATAGAGGAAAGATGTGCTCTGATAGAACAGCCTAACATACACACAGGAAATTTGTTTTAAAAAGTAACATCTAAATACAGGCCTTGGAGATCTGACAGTCACTATTTTGGCAGTAAGACAGTGAAGTTGTCCTGAGGGACTTGCTGATCGGTGAGATAGCTACTAGCTTGCCACTTAAGTCAGAGATGATGCTCTTGGCCCTACCTGTGCTCCAGATTAATGATCCCTGTTGCCACATGGCACCATCTGACTTGTGCTGCTGTGGCTCGGGTGCCAGAGGCTTGTCAGTGCAGTGCTTGTAGGGATGCTGTAGGAAGGAAAGGTGTTACAAAGGCTTACACTCATGCACACCCTTCACCTGCATGCACTCATAGACACTTAGTGCTCTCTTGCTGGCTTTTGCACACAGTCTTTCTCTTGCTATCACTCTCTTGATTATTGAGATTTATGTGTCATCTGTAATAGATCAGTAAAACCATACTTCTCACAAAAGAGAATTATTTATGACAGTTAGCTGGCTGGGAAAGCAACAGGCTTTTAAGTGGGAGTGCTGGCATTCAGGGCAGCTAGGAGATGTGCATCTCTGGCTAGCCAGTGTAGGAAGTGTTTTGTTACCTGTAGGCTGTTCACCATACACTGCTTTTAGTTTGGTTGATTTCTTTTGAGCTTCAATTTGCTTCCCCAGGCATTCATACAGCCTTTAAGCTGTATCAGGAAAAGGTGTATGTAACGTCAGTGTCATGAAATTGATAGAAGAGTCTTAACTTGCACAAAGCCTCAGGTAGAAAGACAATTCTCTACACTGTAATTGTGTTATCTCAGAAGAACCTCGGCAGAAATACAACGAACTCAGGAGCAGCTGATCTCTTTTCTGCATAGCTTTTCTGGAGATTTTAATAACAAACTTGTCCAGGTTGTCCAATATTTTCAGGTTATATTTATTATATAATGCCATTTTTTGTAACTTCTGAATTTTCTACATAAAATTCCGATCATTAGTAAGTTGTTTTTTAACAAAATGCTTTTATTAAAAGAGTTGAGTAAAATTTGTACGTGGAGATCATCTTTAACAAAAAGTTTTGACTTTTTATATTGCGTTACTGATGCAGGGAAGGGGGATGAAAGTGGGTTTGGTAGTGACATTGCTAGTCATGTCATTCACTGCATGGTGCATGTATATAAATTGGAATTGTAAGCAGTGAAGTATATCAGAGGCATTCCAGATAATTACATGAAGGTCATCATTCTTTACTAGAGTGGCAGATTTTTAAATGCTTCTCTGATATGCTCCCTATGAGCCTGATTTAAAACATACTAAAAATACAGAGGGGGATTATTATGATTTCAGGATGCTTTGAATCAAGATTTCTGTGGAAACAATGGCTTTTCTGAAAAGAAAAAAAAAAAAAAAAGGCTGGTGTCTGCATCATGCAATAACTTTCTTTGCTCTTCCATTCAGAAAGAAAATTAGTCACAGATTCAGACTGGGTGTGTGTGGGACCATTCTCTTTAATCAGGCTGAAGTGAAAAGCAACCCATGTTCACCTGTGTGCTTACACTGTGAACCTGATTATGTTGATTATAAAATTGTAGAGTTTAGCTCAATCATTTTACTTACTGTGAGTTAGAATATAAGTTTATCACTCTGCCCAGCAGTGAGTTTAATTGTCTGTTATTCTTCCTCAGTTACTTGTTTGGGGATATACAATATTCATTCTGAGAGGCAGAAGTCAGCTTGTAAGTATGTTAAGTGTATGCAAGCGAGTGGTTATTTATCTTGTAGCTTTCTTGTCTTAAGTGTGGATGAGCACTGCCCTTCAAGACTACGGGGCTGTGTTCATGAACATATTACTGTGGCTGAGGATTACAGGACGCAAAACAATGATGTAGCTGCTGTGGTTATTAAGGGTCACATAGTGTATGGAGGGTTGTTTGGTTTGTTTGCACAGTGACCCATTAATGTCTGGCAAATTCTAATTATCATGCTGAACTGTTGTGCTCTGCTATTTCAATTGTAAATGTATATTTTCTAAGTTGCTTCGTACTATCAGCCTTCTCTTAAGTTTACACATTCTGTTAGCAGACCTTTCCTGAAGCAAACATTGTGCTGGCTTGCACAAAAAGGTATATCCTCTAGGAAGGTGAAAATAAATTAATCTGCTGGGTATGGTGCCACAGGTATATCTTTTGTTTTCCCCGATTGCTTTCTGTCCCTGCAGCTTATTGTCTGTTCTTGCTATGTTTACAGTTTTAGTGTTACTTGTGTGTAAATGCCATTACAGTTAAGAAGTATAAATCAAGCACTTGGGACTTGGAGGGAGCAGGAGGGTGGAATTTTTGGATCCTTCTCAACATGTGCAAGCAAGATTTCTGATGTTGAGAAGTAACAGTTTTCCACTGTCTGGAAGCAACTTCTGCAAGGTCTTAAAAGGGTCTATAGACATTGTGATTGGGTTCATCAGTATACATTAGTTCTCTTCACCCCTGATCTTGACTTCCATATCCATGTAGTGTGCCTGTTGCTTTAGCAGTGTCTAAGTGTTTGCAGAACACTCCATTTTGGAGGATAAAATAGATCACAAATGTAGGCTGTTCTAACAATGATCTGTGATGATAACTTGATGTTTATACTGTTATAGATTGTTTGTTAGACTTTCAGATCATAAGGCTGTCAAACCTGTTGCGCTGGGAAAAAAATCCTCTGTTCTAATGTGAGATGATCATTAAAATTTGTTAAATTGTTTTATTGGAATACATAGGAGATGGTTACTGCCCTGGGCAAAATGATCTCCCACTGAGGAGCACATGATGAACTTGATCAGGTAATAGAACACACCTGACAGACAAAAAAGAAAATTTTATGTGAGAAGACTCTTTGAATAGGGAAAGGCACAGTAATCTTGCATCTGTAATGCAGAAGAGATGCGAAGGGCATCCCAAGTCCTCCTACAATCTACAACCCTGAAGTGAAGCCTGAAGAATGCTACAGTGGTAAGGATAGTGAGCTAGGAAAAGCTTGAAAGCAGTGTCTTTATGCTAAGTAAGGAATCAAAGAAAGTGATTATTTTAGAACTCTGATAAATTCTGTTTTTCTAATTTTGCTTTTCCTATTGCATACATGCCTAGAGAGGTTAATTGCAAATCTATAATGCTTCTAAATGAGGAGAGGATGTGCTTTAGGCTACCTGGTAGCCTCAGGTTCATTGCTGGTGCTAAGACAGAAGCTCTAATTCTGCTAGCCCAGAGTCTGTTAGGTCTGTTGGGGGTTATGGAAGAATATCTCATCTGGTGTGTTAGGAGTAGAAATCTGATTAGGAAAATGCCTTGAGGCAAATGGCTAGAAGAGCATCAGTGGGACTTTTGTGGATATTTACAGACTGAGAGTCCTCAGGGTGAGCCTTTAGTATTCCAGAAAATAATAAATTCTACATAGAGCTCTAAAGCCAAGACTTACTAAGGATCTACAGTGCAGAAATTAACAGCTTCAGGAGAATCACTGCAGGAGGGGAAGTTTTGTTCCCTGAGCTACATGACTTCATGAAGTCCGATCTTCTCTTGTCCTGCTACAACTTTTAAGTGTAAGAGATGTTCTGAGTGACTTTGCTCATTTATAAGATTTTCTTTTGCTGGATCATATTTAACATGATCTCCTGTTTTGAATTCTGTCTTTGATTAACTGCAAAGTTTTGATGTCAGCAGGAGAACAATTGCATCAGTGTGCACTGTCAGCCAGGACCTCTGGCTGCTGGGAGTTGCTAGGATACCTCTCACAGGTATTGCTCACATGGCTCAGCACCAGCCAGTTTATTTGAAATGTAGGTTCATGTCTTTGCTGTGTGTGTGTGTTGAGTGAGCCACAGACTGACTGTTGTGTGTATTTGCTTTGATAGTCAAAAACTGTGCTCTGCAGAGCAGAGAGAATAGAGTAGCCATTCCACCAACATATGACCATTGCTTTCAGAGGGGAACATCAGCCATAGAAAACCAAGGATAGGTTTGCCTTGGCTTGTAGGTATGGTTTAACCTTGTATCTGTGAAGACACAAGGGAATTTTTCACCTGTCATATATTATTTCTTGACTCTGAGCAGCAGGTTGGACCAGATGGCCTGTAGAGGTCCCAGCCTATGTCCTTCTGTGATTCTGCCATCCTTCCCATGTCTCACTGGTATTAATGCTCCCTCAATAAGTCCTTTGCACAAAGCAGTTCCATGCTACTTAGACAAAGTTGCCTCAGATACCTCCTGCGTGGCCATCTGTTCCTGAATATGAGAGTGTTGTATTTAGGGCACAAATGCTAACTCAACTCTTTCTTGCCACTGTAAGGCAATATCCCTCCTGTAGCCTATAAGATTTTTCTCCAGGTTCCTGTTTTCTGAAACATCTTGCTCTAACCTTGTCTTAAGGACCTTTTCCTGCCACTTCTGTGAATCTTCCCACTGCCCCAGAACCCTCATTCTTCTTTCACTCTCATAAACTCATGCTCCTATGGCTGTGACTTTCCTCCCTATTGACCATCATTTGCTCACTCTGGTTTTGGCTGTTACTTCACCTAAGCACAACAGTTATCTTCTCCCTTAACTCCCTTCACTCCCTCTGTTCTCTGGATTTGTGTGGCTACCTGTGGCTTTGCCCTGTGGATACCTACCAGCTGTGTGTCTCTTCTCACCTGTGGGATGAAGTAATTTTGCAAGGCCTCATGAGAAGGGGTTGTGATGGTTCAAAACTGGTTTCGTCTGTACTACCACATACAAACACTGACAGGGATATGTTGAAGTAGCCTTGTCCACTGGCTGGGCACCCAGACTCATACCCAGCTGGCCCTTCAGGGATCCTTGCAGCAGCAGAGCATGAGGTTTGCCTGCTAGGATGGCCTTGCAGTGACCTTCCCTTGTCACTGCTTGGGCTGTGGAAGGTTTGGAAATGCCCCTTGGTGCTCTTCCAGTTCTCACTCTGAGAGTTGTTAGGATCTTCTGGTCCTTTGTCATTTTCTTTGAGCTGCCAAGATCTCCAAGCTGGTCTTCATCTGCCCACCATCACCCCTTAATGGCTTAAGTCTTTGTTTTAGCCTGGGTTTAGGCTGCCCTCATGTTCCCAGTAACCTGAAAAGCTGCACATTGCTGTGACAGGGTCTCTATCAGCTGTTGATGCAGGAGCTGCTCTTACAGCCTTTCTTCTGAACCATCTGCTGCTCCCACATCCCAGACCTTTACCTTCTTTTTCCACTTACACCAGTTTTAAATGTTTCCTTTACTGTTCACTGTGGTATTGTGAGAGTTTGTAGGACTCAAGCTACATGCTGCTGTTTTTCGCAAAGCTTCTAAAAAGTTTCTGCCTTTGCTTAGTAATTCCCATGGCAAGGATGGATAACCCACCTTCTGTAACTCACTGAGGATCAGTCAATTACTAGCAGTCAACATGAAGAAATGATGTTTGGATTGTCAAAGGGCAATAACTGAACTCCTGTACCTGACCTTCCTGTAGCTATAAAGCTAAATGTGGGTTTGAGTTCTCAAACTAAACCTTAAACTGCCTGTGTGAACCAAGCATCTGGGTCCTGGGGCACGATTCTTATCTAACCAGCAGTCATTTGTTTGTTTACTTGGTACATAGCTTTCTTTGTCTCATAACCCCTTTTACGGAATAACAACACCCAGTGCCTGGGTTTCACTGGAAGTTTGTCTCTGTGTGCTCTCTGAACCTATTGGCCTCATGGCACCCATGTGGAAACCTTGAGAAAATGAGAGGCACAGAGCCTTTCTCTGTATCACTGCTGGCAGAAGTTAGACTAAAAATGTCTGAGTTCTCACTCATTAGATGGCACTGCTCCGTTTTCAAGTGTGTATAGGCATCCCCTGACTGAATCTCAAATACTGAAATGCAAAAGACATTCACCAGTTTTCTCTCCTAGAATGAGTTGCAATGTGTAATTTCTTCTGTCAAAGAAATACACAAATATAGGATTAAATGTTTTCTTAAGAGTACTCTCATGCCTTCTGATCTTTTTTCTTATGTATTTTATTTTCACTGAATCCACCACGTATGATG